TGTCTCTCTCTGTCAAATAAATAAATAAAATCTTTAAAAAAAAAATCTATTTTCATTTAAATTAATTCATGTTTGTTGTAAAAAAACCCCAAACTTTGTTTTAAAAACACACCAAAATGGACCTTTCTATATGCACTATTATATAAGCTGTTCTTTTTTGCCTCACTGCTTACCTGGATAACTTTGCATGTCAGTGCATTTACATTCATCTCATCTCTTCTAACAGCTGCTGGGAATTCTATTACATGCATATGCTAGAATTAACATAACAACTCCCTATTACTGAGCATGTGAATTGTTGAGAGCTTTAATATTATAAACATGCTGTAGTAAATATCTTTCTTCATATATCTGTGTCTGTTATTTGATGAAGATAAATTTTAATATTTAAATTACTTAATATTTAAATCTCAGTATTTAAAATACTGTATTTATGACAGATTGCATTCCAGAGAGCCTGAATCAATTCACAACTCCAACAACAATGTATCAAAGTACCCCTTTTACCCATTCTTGTCCATCTTTGGAATCTCTCAATCCAATAGGCAAAGATGTTAATCAGTTGTTTAAAAAAAAAAAAAAGTCCCCAAAGGGACTAGACTTATCAACTAGCTCTGCTGCTTTTTTTTTTGATAGTATACATATGAACAGTGAAGGGGGAACTAGGGTATTTCAAAGTGAAAGTTCCAAACCATTTAAACTAAATACAAACCATATCAACACATCACCAACAAGGATTAAAACTGCAAAAATAAGGATTTTCAGTAAACCCCAAAGAACATTTATATGGAGATCACAAAGATGAAGAAATAGATTGTTGTCTTAGGAGATGTCTTCTCTTGAAATGTGGGTAACACCCTTGAGGCATTTCAGTAAATGAGATCTAAGGCTTCAGTAGAGGAGAATAGCTGGTTAATGACATATATATGAAGTGAGTCAGAAGACAGGATGGTCTTAAAAACTGGATGTGCCTGAGCACATACTATATTAGAAAGAAAAATGCATAAGGTGTTTGAATAGAATAGGCAGTAGTATGTTGAAACTAAAATAGGGATATTTATCTTCCTTAAAAATGACTCTTTCTGACTTGGCAGGGTCTTCAATACTCTTCCTTGATAGGCATGATTTTGATGGATGAGATAGATTAATAGGGAAGTAAAGAATGAGCCACTCCCCTTGGAAAAAATTATTTATAGGTAATCAGGACCAACGTTTATTATTTATTGGAAGGATAAGCTCTAAAGCAGTGGTTCTCAAACCAGCAGCATAAGCTTCACCTGGGAATCTGTTAAAAATGCAAAATTTCAGGCTCCACTTCAGATGTACTGAATTTGAAACTCTGGGGGTGGAGCCAGCAATCTGTGTTTTAACAAGTCTTCCTGGTGATTCTGCTGCACTGCCTCTGGGTAGTTAAATAATTAAATTATTTACTGTTTTTAAGGTGTTCTTTCTTTTTGCAAATTACAGTCAACTTCCTGAAGTTTGGAAAATGTAAAATTATAAAACGATGACACAAGACATGGATGTTGAAAGACATCTTCCGAAAAAGAACACGGTGCTTTAAAAAGAATTCTGTCTGGCATTTTGAAGTGCACATTTCAGCAAGGGGGGGGTGCTGCTCTATGTAGACCGAAATTGCTTCTTCCAGGATGGGGGTTCAAGCAGTCCTTCACAGATGGTCTACATATTTCCATAATATTATATCTGCTATGAACTTATCATTTGACACATCTACATAGGCCTATTATGAGAAAATGTCATCTTGACCAAAGGAAGTATTTTTCTAAAAATCTCTGAAAAGAGATCAAAGGCTTTGGCACAAAGCTTTAAATAGACTGTATTATGTTATGCACATGTTGAAAACGGTACTATTTTCCTGGGGGGAAAATGTGTTTGAATAGTATCTTGTTAATTTCTTTCTCCGGATAGGCAGAGAAAGTCTTCCTCCAAAATCCTGTGGAGGGTGTATGTGCAGCTTTTAAAGAAACCGTCATAGTGTTATCTAGAGTACTGTCTCACATCCGTACCAGCAGCATATGAGAATTCAGACTGTTCCACATCCTTGCCGACACTTGGTATGGTGCTATGGTAACCATCCTATCAGGTCTGTAGTGGTATCTCATGGTGATTTTATTTTGCATTTCCCTAATGACTAATGATGTTGAACATCTTTTCAAATGCTCATTTGCCATTTATCTATCTATGATCCAATCAATTATTCCTTTTTTTTTTTTAATTTCAAAAGAAATACAAGCACATGTCCATACAAAGACATGGATCCTTGCTATGGTCTGCACTGTGTCGCTCCAAATTTATATGCTGAAGCTCTGACCCCCAATGTGACTCTATTTGGATAGGGCCTATCATGAGGTAATTAAGGTTAAAAGAGGTCAGATGGGTGGGGCCTTGATACGATAGGTTTAGTGTCCTTACTCTGTAGGGCTTGTGCTAATTCCCACGCCTCCCAGTAAAGAGGAGGTCACGTGAGCCACAGTGGGATGGCAGGCATGTATAAGCCAGGAAGAAAGGTTTTACCAGAAAGCAACCATGCTAGCACTCTGATCTTGGACTGCCAGCTTCCAGAACTATGAGAAAAGACGTGTCTGTTGTGTAAGCCACCCAGTCTGTGGCATTTTGTTATGGCGGCCTGAGCTGACTTGTACAGTCCTCATAGTGGGATTTGTAATATTTGTATTATTTGTAACAGTAAAAAACTGGAAACCACACAAATGAATGGATAAATAAGTTGTGGTATACACATATTAAGGAATACTACTGAGCAATACAAGTGAATGGACTGTTGGTATATACAGCAATATGGGCAAATCTGTTATGCTACGTGATACAGACCAGACCAAGAAAAAAAGAGTTGTCACTATTATGCCATTTCTATTAAAGTCTAGGAAATGTAGATAATCTATAGAGACAGCAGATGTGTGGTTGCATGGGAGATGAGGTGTGAGGAAAGAGAAGGAAGAACTACAAAGGTACAGAAGGAAACTTTAGGGGGTGATGAATACAATTATTAGCTTGATTGTAGTCGTGGTTTCATGGATCCGTATGTCAAACTTATCAAACTATAGGCTTTAAATATATCCAGTTTACTGTATGCCAATTATAGTTCAATAAGGTGTTTAAAAAAACCCCAACAACCTGTGGAATCTTCCTATTATCTCTAGGAAACTCCAATTTTGTGTTAAATAGACTTTTTTTTTCTTTTCTCCAATCTCTGACAAAGAAATGGAAAAGAAAGTGCTTCACTGAGAAATGGCTGTCATAGGTATGGGAATTCTTGGCTTTGTACTTTCCCTTGTGAGGGACCTGGAACAGAATCCTTGCTCCCACTCCAAACCCTCAGCCTTTTCATTACCATTGGAGGTAAAACAAAAACAAAACAAAACAAAGTCAAAGGACATAAAACAAGTGTCAGTGAAACTCAAAACTGGGAAAGAAATGATTACACTTGCATTTTACCTTTTATTTTTGCAAGCACAGGTGATCCTATTACATATTGTGGTAAAGAATGAAAACCTGTTATGAAGCCTTTCAATCACATTTGGTAATTTATGTCAGGAACATTGTTACAGAAAAGCTTCCAGAAGTAAAGACGTTAAAATCCAGAATGTGTCAGCTCATGTCAGGCAAAACATTGACAACACAACCCAAAGTTGGACACAGAATTTGATTAGGAATTCAAAACCTGCTTCAATCTCAGGGAAGCCTTGGAAGATACAAAAGTGTGTGATTCTTAGCTTTAGGTAAAGTTCATACTAAACATGAGGGTTTATATCTATTGCACTTTGGGGACTGTGCTAATTCATGTTTAGATGGACCTGAGATAACAGGAAAGGCAGCGTCTTAGAAGGTCCTTCGTGGCAAATGACTATGGAAGGAAACTCCCTCCAAAGTTGTAAATTGTTCATTTCCATTCTACTGTGTGGCGGATGCCAGTATTTTTTTTCTTTAAAATTTTTTTAAGGTTTTAAGCAAATTTTGTGAGTTTTGACTACCTAGCTTATAAGTGGTAGAAGAGGAAACTCAGAACTATGAGATGCCAAAGCTCTTGCTCTTTCTGATACTCAATATGAAGTAGAGAAGTTTTCTGGATGGCCTACCGTCAACCCTGCCCCACGTCCTCCCCCTGTGTCAGCTCTAACTTCCACTTGCATTAACTCGCTGCTGGTTCGCAGCTGGAGAGCACAAACTGCACCTGCTCCGAAGGCCAGGGAGCCCGGCCTCATCCGGCGCTCAGCCTCTGCTGCTTGTGCACGGACACGAGGACCCACCAGGGGTCACTGCAGCCTCAGAACTATTGTGCCCGCCAGTCCTGGACACAGCCCGTCGCGCTGAGGGCGTGGGACTGGGAGCGCCGAACGCCAGGGTCCGAGCAGAACTGCGCCTGCCTTCCTGGAGCCAGCCTCCGGTCTCCCCGGGAAACGGACACGGCAAGCAGGGCCAGGGCTCGGGACAGCCAGGCGGCCAGGGTGCAGCGCGCGGGTTCCCGTGCGGACCTGCTCGCACCTCGCCGTTCGACCACCTCCGCTCCGTCTTCCGCCCTTAGCCGGGACCCCGCCCGGAAGGGGCGCCCCTTCCCGGCCTCTGGGCCCCCGCTCCGCTCCGGGGCTTTCTGCTGACGCCAGGGCCCAGCCTAGCTGCACCTGGACTGCTCCCGCCCGGGGCGCCACCCCTCGCGCCGCCTAGAGAACTTTCCCGGGAGCCGCCGCGGCCTGCATGCGCAGGGCACACCCCCATCCTCCCGCCGGCGCATTCCCAGCTTGGGCTCCCGCTTCTCCGCCGGCCGGCGCGCCCGCAAGCTCTCTGACTCCCCGCTTCTCAGAATCTCCCGGAGGAGCAGCACTCCGCTGCCACAGCAAGGCGTTCTCGGAGAGCGAGCTTGAACTTGGCCACACACAGTCCCCCATGATGAGTTCCAGGGTCTCCAAACGGGAGCCGCGCCCCACCAAGAGCTGACTTGCACTCGCCAGTGTCGGTAAGGAGCCCGCTGCCCTTTCCGACACTCTTCGGGCTTCTGGGTGCCCGCGGGATGGGGTGGCGGAGGTAGCTGACTGAGTGACGACCCTGGCCACTGGCCCTGCAGTGGGACTGGGACGTCGTGGGTACCCCTGACACAAAGGAACAGCCGAGTGTTCCCCAATCGGCTGCGGGGTGGGGTCGGGGCTGGAAGTGGGAGCCCTCCGGGGACTCCGCCGGGAAGGGAGGCCGGGTGTAGCGGCCGCGCTCTGGGCGGGCGCAGGCGGAGGGGGCTGCACAGCTCCCAGGGGTTTCCTCGCCTGGGGAGGGCCTGGAGCTCGCGTCCCTCCCTTTTCCTGTTTCTTGCCCCCATTGCCAGGCGACTTTTCTCGTCCCCAGGACTGCGGGAGGGGCCGCGGCGCCCCCGCCTTCGGAGGAACCCGAGCCGCGGGATGCGCGGGGACGCGCCGCCGCCCTCTGCGCTCAGTTCCGCCGGCGCTTCCCCGGCGGCTCCCGGGCGCTGACTCCCCCGGCTTCTCCACCCTCCTTACCTCCAGCTGGCGCCAGGCGGCTCGTCCGCGTGGCCCTGGACCCCACCGGGAACCGGTCCTCTCGCCCTGCCCGCCGCGCGGACAATAAATTAATGCCTCGCGCTTGAGGGGAGGGGGCGGCTCGGCGCCTTGGTCGCAGCTTTCTCTCCTGGCTGGAGACGGCCACAGCCGACATGGGCTGCTTCTGCGCTGTTCCGGAAGAATTTTACTGCGAAGTTTTGCTTCTGAATGAATCCAAGTTAACCCTCACCACCCAGCAGCAGGGCATCAAGGTAGGCGCGGGCCGGGGGCGTGTCCCGGGGGGTCTGCAGCCGGGCAGGCTCGGGGGTCCGAGGCTTTGTCTGAGGGCTGTCACGGGTCTCGGCCGGCCACTGCTCTCTGCGCGCTGGCAAGGAGCCGCGGCTGCCCTGCACTCAGGTAGTGTGGACGGGTCCGGGTGGATTCACTTTGAATCCCTTTATAAAGGGAAGTAAGTTTCTTGTCTCAAAGGGTAGTCCGCCCATCCACTCTCAGCTGCAGCCCACAGTCCTGCAACTGAGACCAAAACTTCCCAGCACCGGTTTCCTCCAAAAGCATCTAAGGCCCCCGCAGCTCCAGAGAGTCACAGAATTGAATATACAGGCTGCATACAGTGTTGAAGGCACGATTTCCTTTGGCTTTGTTGAAAGATTTTTTCTGTTAGTGTCATTGGGGAAGTAACATATAGTTCACTCGCTGAAACACATTTACTGGGTGACTGTGATCGTGTTGCCTGGGTTTGTAGTTGGGTAATGCTACGTTTGGACGGAAAATAATTTCCAGTTCTACAAGCGAACTGGTTTTATCCCCACGTTTAAGTAAACATCTCTCAAAGCGACTCGGTAAATAACTTTGCGCCTGTTTGTAGGCCATTAAAATGCAAATACTGCTATTAACCTAGAGAACCTAAACAAAAAGGCTGTGGGAGATTGCAGAGATCCACTTCCTTAATTTTGATGAGTTCTTATGTTTATGGTTGACAACCTGACGGACGCGCCTGCGCGCTTGTTTTGCTCTTGCTAACAACGTAACTACCTAAAGATGATCCGAATTCCGAACGTTTTGTTTTGTTTCGTTTTCTGCATATTTAAATCACCGGAGCATTTTAAATAACCTTAGCAGCTGAGTCCAGTGAAGGGCTACCGCTCCTCCTTCCCACTATTGCCCCCCACCCTCCATCTCCGTAGAGCTGGCGGTCTGAGAACCAAGTTCAAGCTGCCGGTGTCCTAGTCTTGTATGGCAGAAGTTAATCCCAATGGCGTAGGCCCTGGGCATTTCCTTGTGTGAATCAGTTTTTACACAGCTTTATTATGTACACTGAAGTAACTGTTCCTGGCCAAAAGCTGAAGCTTTGATGTCACCATTCCTGGTGTACAGAATTCTCATTTCACAGGTGTCAATCTTAAGCAGGAGATGGGGGTAAAAATGATCAGTTAAAACCACAAGATAAAGTTAACCCTTTCTTCGGGAAATTGTTTTGAACATTGTTTCCCAGGAATTATAAAACGCAAAAGTCAATCAGATTCTCATTTGGTGTTTCCCTTCAAGGCCAATAAACGACTCCTGGAGGGGCTCCTGGGCGGCTCAGATGGTTAAGCGTCTGCCTTCGGCTCAGGTCATGATCCCAGGGTCTTGGGATCGAGCCCCACATTAGGCTCCTGGCTCAGCGGGGAGTCTGCTTCTCCCTCTCCCCCTGCTCATGCGCTCTCTCTCTCTCTCTCTGTATCTCTGTGTCTCAAATGAATAAAATAAAATCTTAAAAAAAAAAACTGGAAAAGGTTGTTTCATATTTTATATTTCCAGCT